ATTTTAAAAAACTGTATATATTAGAAAACTGTATAATAGTATTCTAGCATTGATAAATACAAATAATTAACTTCCTCGTAATATAAATAGGAACAAAATACATTTAAATTATATTTACCCCAAAACGATATGAAAACGGCGTAGAAAACAGTGCCCGAGTGGTCAAACATTACGGACAGCCGTGAAAACAAACAAATCTCGCTTAAATACCAGTACTGACAGCCCTGTTGTTCGTCACACGTCGGGCACATCCGGTACTTTTGGCCACTCGAACAGATGTCACGACTAGTTTTGTAGTAAATAATAATATTAATAGTATATTATAAATTAATAGCATGTAATTGATTTAATTTTATTTAAAAATGATATTCATACGTGTCCATTTATATAACGAGGAAGTTAATTATTTGTATTTATCAATGCTAGAATACTATTATACAGTTTTCTAATATATACAGTTTTTTAAAATTCTGTCATTTATAATTTTAAATAATATGTAACTTTACTACTATACACCATAAATAATTAAAAACAAAACATATTTTTAATTTTTAATAATTAAAATATGTAGATACTTACGATGGTACATCTGTTTCCATGCTAACTAATCCATATAGAAATACTAATATACCAACGATCGCGGCCGGCACTAACCAACCAGTATAAAAACCTATAATAAGTATAATTTTATTGTAGATTAAATAATTTACTCTATAACAATGTCGGTACAAACCTAGCCAGGCAAAATACATAGCAATTTTTTCACCAAAATAGTCTCTGATATGATCGAGGGGTTGATATTTATACCATTTGGACCATTGGGCCCAATAATAGTATAGTATCTGACGTTTATTATAGTGTTGCGGTTCAGTAATATTTTTGGCCGATTCATATTGACCCTGTTAAATAGAAACATAATTGAAATATTACACACAATTTATATTAACATACTGTGACATTAACAAAAAATAACACTATTATAATGATCTTATGTACATTTATATTTATATTGGGAAGTCTGGCCGTCAGTTTTTAAAACTATTTTCCTATTAAAGCATTTAAATAGTAATTTAATTTTGTATTATTGATTGTTATCTTAATTTACTGAATATGTAAAAACAGAAATGTATTTGAAATGAAATTAATAATTTTTTCAATAAAACATTTTGCTAAAAACTTGTTAAAGCATTAATCAAAACCATGAACATTATATCCATGGATATAATTAATACAAACATAACATAACATAATAAAAACAAGGTTCTATTAGGCTAATTTGTTGTTCATAATTTTAATATTTTAAACTATTATAAACTTATATAATATAATAAATAATATAATTTTAATAATAATATCATAGTATCAAAATAAGATATTATAAATAAATACCAGATTAGTAATTAGTAATTGGCAATTACATATACAACAGCTGATAATTATTTTACTCTTATGGTGAAATATAAATCACTATTTATTTGACCAACTTACATCGTGCAATGGATACGACGCGGTAAAAACTTGTTGCTCGATGAGTCTATCGATGCCAGTTTGTGCCATGCTCCTTTTGCCAAACGATACCGACTCTAATATCTCGTGCACAACACGTATTCGTTGGGCGCGCGTGAAGTATGTCTCGGGATCTTCGCTGCCTATAGAGTTAATATACGGTATGTTTAACATTGAAGTAATCATAGCTAAGAATTTATAATTAATTTTAAGTATTTGCATTAATTTATATATTTACGTCATGTTAGAAATAATATTTTTTAAAACTTATAAATTGTTTGTTTTATTTTAGATTTTTTATTAATTAACTTTTTATTTATAAAATCTATAATAATCTTATAGTTATTTCTCTAGATTTGTAGCTTTTATAAGAAGGCTCGAGTCGAGAGCTTTCATTATTTGAGTAGTTTTTTGTTGGTTTAATAATTAATTTTCTCATTTTGTTTGCCTTTATATTAAACACAGTTTCAATTTATTTACGAAATAAATAAAGTTATTTTTAGCCATTATAATGTATATTGATTTACTCAAACATTATTCAAAATATTATTATACATCAAACAGAGTACAAGAAAGAAATAATTAATTCAATAAATAATATAAAGACAATCTGTAATTAACGTGTATTTATAGATATGTTTTGTTAAATAATGAAATAAATAAAAATATCAAAAATAAATGAGAATTTTAAATGAGTTGTTATAGTGTTAGCAATCAATAAATATGTATTTATCGTATGACTGAATATATTTTTTTATATCAACAGATTATTTATTGCAAAACTATTTCATATAATATTAATATTTCAATGAAAAAGTATTTAAAATATTTTTCAAAGCATTCAAATAGTAAATTCATTTCTCATCGATTTTTATCCCAATTTATTGCATGTTTAATACTAAATATAAATATATAAAAATTGGAAAGTATTTGAAATAACATTAATGCATTTATAAGGGTATTTGGATGCAATTTTAACTAAACCAATCATATAAATTTAATAGTATTTGTCCTAGATCATTCCAACAACTAAATATAATTGTCAAAATTATGATAAATTGAATTTTGATTAATAAAGACAATAAATAAATTATAGTAGAAAATCATGGTTAAACTGTAACTTTTATCAAAACAAAACACCACATATATAAAATAAGGTTAACGTAATTTTATTTTGGAATTTGAATGTAAAAATTTTTATTTTTAAATTATTATAAATTTATTAAACTAATGCATTGTAAACTATATTAGCAAAAATATCTGTAAATGTATTTTGCCATTTTCAAATCAAATTTATAGATTAAATCTAAATTATAAATTAAAAATATATTAATTAAATATTATATTAA